GGTTCATACAAAGGAGTGTTAGTTACAAGACTAGCGAGGTCATCCTAAAACTGTATCTTGCTCTTGTGAGTCCACACCTGGATTACGCAGTTCAGTTCTGGTCACCGTATTACAGAATGGATAATAGAATCATTGGATAGAATTCAGAGGAGAATGACAAGACTAATCCCGGGCATTAGGAACCTTGAGTATAGAGACAGGTTAAAGCATCTTAATTTGCACTCCCTCGAGAGACGTAGAGCGAGAGGCGACCTGATAGAGGTGTATCAGTGGAAGTCAGGGCTAAACAAAGGGGACATTACAAAGGTACTCAAACTATCCAACCAGGAGCGAACTGGTAACAATGGTTTTAAATTAGACAAATTTAGATTTAGGCGGGAAATAGGTAAACACTGGTTTGGAAACAGAGTAGTGGATGAATTTAACAAGTTACCAAATATCACCCTTAACTGGAATACGCTGAATAGCTTCAAACATAGGTTGGATGCATATATGAGCAATAGGGGTTGGGTGTAAACAGGACTGCCCAGTATGGGCCAATAGGCCCGCTGCAGTTTCCTCCATTCTTATGTTCTTATGTTAACACCTACTGACTCCTTAGCTAGCTGTGAAAATTTCATAAGTTCTCAGTTCGAGGACTTACACAGTAGACAACTAAGGTCAGGTAACACTTACTTTTACCTGTTAATAACGCTGAACTGGCCCATTAACCGTTGATTCTTTCTGGGTTAATGGGGCTGGAACATGTAAAAGTATATAGGGTTTGAGTAGCGAAACCCAACTGTCCGTTCCCTATTTATTAAGAAAATATATTATATACAGTTCGAAGTGTATATTACCGTAACTTAATCACTGTAGCTATGAGTGTTAACATGAGGACGGAGGCTATATTAAATAGGTCTTCTAAATACGTCCTCCTTGTGTGAGGGAGTGAGTGATAATGCCCGTAATACCCGTCGACGGAGAACGGTAATATACGTCCTCCGTCGAGGGAAGACGGAACCATCCACGATGGTTCTCAACAACGTCTTCCTCTCGTCAAGGATATCAAACTACTGCCGCAAGAGATGGCCAGAGAGCCGACTACTTAATACCTTAGCTCAGGCCGCACCTCGATTATGCGGTTCAGTTCTGGTGCCCTTATTATAGAATAGATATCAATTCACTGGAGTCGGTGCAGCGAAGAATGACGAAAATGATTCCGGGACTTAGAAACCTTCCATATCAAGATAGATTAAAGAAACTAAACTTGCATTCCCTAGAAAGACGAAGAGTGCTAGGAGATATGATAGAAGTATTTAAATGGGTGAAAGGAATCAATAAAGGGGATATAGAAGAAGTTCTTATAATATCCGAGCAGGATAGGACTCGTAGCAACGGATTTAAGTTGGATAAGTTTAGGTTTAGAAGGGAGATAGGAAGGAACTGGTTCAAAAATAGGGTGGTGGACGAGTGGAACAAGCTTAGCAACTTTGTAGTAAGTGCTGGAACGCTGGAAAGTTTTAAAAGGAGGCTAGAAAGATTCATGGATGATAGAGAGTGGTAGTAACTCTCGACAGGAGCTGCCATGCACAAGCCAACCGGCCTATTGCAGTCTCCTTATTTTCTTATAAATCAAATGTAATTAACCCATATATATAAATACTTTTGCCTATAAAACAGGGGGCTATTACATCGCTAGTGCCTTAACTAACACAACAAAAATGGCAACAGGTGATTCTACCATCCCACAGACTTCATCGATCTATCAAACTGTAAAAATACTTCCCAATAACATTAAGGTACAAGAATTTACTGCAGATTATAATACCTTAACAATTTTGCGTAAGTGCGAAGATGTAATGCGAAACAGTAATGTTACTAACAATGGGGATAAAATCTCATACGTCCGAAGCAACATCAAAACGTCGGGCAGATAGAATGATGTATTGATGTACGCATTAGCCTTTGATGAGGAAACAGTTGACTAGCTATCAAACGTTTAGGAAACAATTCATATCCTTTTTCGGGTCAGGAACGAAAGGAGGTGCGCTTACTTGGATTTTCAAGATGGCAGAGCATGCAAGTATTTGCTCACGACGCACAAGAAACACGGGCTTTAGCCGGACACACTATGATGGATCTCAAAACTTACATGACATCTTCAAATTGGTTTGATGAAAAGGAAAAGTAACGAAAGAATATTTCCACAAGATCATTGAGTTCCTACAGTTTATCATGGTGCTACACGAAACTATACGCAAGGCAGCCAGAGAGAAGGAATATAAACTAGGGACTAAGCTTGTAGACTACGTGGAGGAAATTTCTGAAACGGTGGAAACTACTCCTACGGCTCTGCCAGTAGCACCCGTAACCATTTATTAGGAACAACCACAAACTGCCACCGGAACTAAACCCCAAAAGGCACCTTTTTAAAAAATGAGCAAACGCAAGGGAAATGCCACAGAAAAATTGTTGGTTTGGAGGACAAAAACAAAACAAAAACCCATCTAGCCCGCGGCAAGATCAAGGAAAAGGATCCTCCCTGGACTTTAAAAATCCAGAGTATCTTACTAAACCAAAACATCTAAAAGGACACTACACAGTCAATGAAATGCCTACAAACACTAAAGGCACTCTGGATAAATGGTGAGTGTACTACATGAGTCTCTATACCACAATACAGATGAATGCAAGAACCTACAGCGCCCGAAGCAAGAGCTTGCAAACCGATGGTACACAAGTAGACAGCCTTCGGGGGAAGATGCATGCATCCAGCAAGAAAACAACGCTTCCATCACCGGATCACTAATTGCTGCGTTAAACAAAGTGGAAGTGTTGACTGTACCAGCAAGGATAGGTAACAATCAGTTGTCTTTAGACATAGATACGGGAGCCTGTGCCAGCATTATCTCATTAGTGTAGTTCAATGCTCCAAATAAGTGGCCAATAAGACACCAGACATGCCTCTGCCCGGTGTGTCAGGAATCCAATTAGACATAGCGGGGGTGACAACACTGCCAATCCGTTTTTCTAGGTCCAGTAAAGGTTTTCTGGTGGACTTCTACATAGTAAGTACATTCTCTTTGCCAGCGAATGGGTTAATCGGTCTTTCCACACAAAAGCAGAACAACATTAACATTCAGCCAAAAAATCACATCACAACCCACAACTGTAAAACTTACTTTTCAATGCAAACTTCACATCCATTGCTTACCTCGGGTGCTCGTGTAATAACTGCCTCGACAGGCGCGAAGGGATTCTATCGCACAGAAGCAATTAGTTACGGAGTCACTCTCTGAAACTCCGCTTAGTAGCTCAAAGGACATTCAGGCTGAAAGCGGCAAGAACTGGATTTTAACGCCTGCTGTGTTAACTGGTGCACAACGGTTACATAGCCGGGAACTAACTAGAATCATAGTGCTTTTACCAAATGAGAGTGAAGGAACAGATGTTGTGTGTCTGAGTGAAAGGCTTGTCACTTGAGTCTATCTTAAGAACAGTCAGATCAGGCAGTCTCACATATGGCCTCGTTCTCAATTAAACTTGGGGACCTATAACTTTAAGAGAGGGATGTTGTTTAGGTAATTTCCTTGTTTACAACAAAGCAATCGTCGCGGAGCCAACAGAATTACCAATAAGTAGTGTAACACAAGGGGAATCGACCGTAAAACTGTGTATTGTAGATACAGTAGAGTTAATAGCGCCACACGTGAAAGTAATCAATTATCTTTAAGGCAAACGTGATCTTTTAGAATTATTAGCCGAGTTCAAGGAAATCATAGCATTACCTGGAGAACCCTAGGTAAAACAACGTTGACACTCGCCCGATCTACATACCAGCATTCGGCTACCACATAGCCAAAAGGCCGTAGTCGAACAAATGGTACAAGAAATGGTGGAACAAGAGGTAATCCAACCTTCCTCAACACCATGGAATTCGCCTCTATTCCTAGTTCCCAAGAAAGATGGAGGATAGAGACCAGTCATAGATTTTCGACGAGTCAACCAAGCAACTGTAGCAGGCAGGTTCCCAATGCCTGTGCTAACTGACTTACTACAGTCTCTAGGAAAAGACAATGCCGTCTTCCATAACCTAGATTTGCTTAGCTGGTACTGGCAAATTCCCATACACAAGGAATCCCTCACGGTAGCTGCGTTCAGTACACCAATGGGACATTTCGAATTCTTACGAATGCCTTTTGGTTTGAGGAATGCGCCACAAATATTCCAAAGAATGATAAATACCATGTTTGCTGGATTGATTGGTAACACAGTCTATGCCTGCATAGATGATCTTATCAGAGTAAGCAATGATTTACAAAGCCATTTAAAGAAACTACGAGAAGTCTTCACAAAGCTACAAACAGCTGTATTAAAAGTGAAATTTTCCAAATGTGAATTTCTTAAATCCAGAATCCAATTTCTCGGACACGTAGCGGATGGCAACGGTATACACACAGTAGATTTTAAGGTAAAGGAGGTGAAGCAGTCCCCTTGTCCCAAGAATGCAGATCAACTTCGAAGCTTCCTGGGATTATCAGAATGCCACCCTTCTTTCATTGAGGGTTATGCCAAGTCAGCCTCACCACTCACTAAACTCGTCAAAAGGACGTAGAGTATAAGTGGAACAAAGAACAAGAGGACAGTTTTAATGCCTTTAAGAACGCTTTAACAAACGTACTGGTGTTAGCCTTTCCGGAAGACACCAAACCATTTACCATGTGCATCGATGCCTCCGGCCTAGGGCGAGGGCAGGGGTGGCCAACCTTATGTGTGATGTGATCTACTTTTTCCACAGTTACCCTGACGCGATCTACCAGCCTAATATTCACCCATTGCTATAAAATACGTAGATTCGTAGAGAGAGAGAGAGAGAGAGAGAGAGAGAGAGAGAGAGAGAGAGAGAGAGAGAGAGAGAGAGAGAGAGAGAGAGAGATAAACAAATAATATTTTTCAACAATTGTTATGATATAATGTTAACATGACAAAGTCATAAGCTTACTTTACTAATGAGATTATTAGCACTGCACGTTGTCTGCCAGCTTTGTGTAATTAGGACTGTAGGCGGTGACTGCTAGCCTCAGGCAAGCATCCAGGTGTTCATCTGACATTGTTGATCGGTATTTGGATTTGATGTGTTTCATGTGTGAAAATGTTGATTCACAAAGGTAGGTTGATCCAAAAAATGCTGTGAGGTACATGGCACATTTTCTGACATTGGGATATTTTTCTTCACTGAGAAGGTTCCAGGAACTTCCTCCTGTTGCCCTGGATTTGATCTGAATATAATTTTTAAGCTTCAGAAGCTCATTTTCGACTTTAGATACGTCCATGTTAAATACTGATGCCATTCTAGATGCAATATCTTCAACATTTGTGATTTTACCAAATGGAAAACACATATATGTTGCAATAGGTTCTATTGTTGCTATATCTTGAAACCGTCTGTCAAAATATGAGGCAAGGTTTTGCACGTGTTCAATATATCGAGCACTGTCAAACTGGTCACAGTCTTTTCCTTGGTTTTCTAGTTCAGACATCATGTTTCTGAAGTTTCGTAGTTGATGTTGATGCAGCTGCGAAGACACTAGTTTTAGTTTCTGCTTGAAAGCAGCCACAGGACTAATTATGTCAACTATAGTTTTATCTTTCCCTTGCAGTTCTAAGTTTAGTTTATTCAGCATAGCAGCTATGTCAACTAAAAAAGCTAAATCTAACAGCCACACTTTTTTGTGATCAAAAGGACAATCTTTTGAGGCCAAAAAAGAAGTTAGGAAACATATCATCACTCCTGCACAGGGCAATGAACCCACTGATTCGGCCAGCCATTGTAGGTGTTCCATCAGTTATTATAGATACGAGCTAACTCACTGGCAACTGTGTACTGTTAACAAAATCACTGAAAGTCTGAAATAGGTCTTCATCCCGAGTTTTTCCTTTTAATGGTAGAACTTTCGGCAGTTCCTCTTTGGTACTCATATCTTAAAACACCATTTTCATGAAAAAACATAATTGTGATGTATCGACCACATCAGTAGACTCGTCAAATTGTAATGAAAAGAACACACACTCACGTATTCCTTTATTTAGTTGTTCACACAAATCCTCAGCCATGAATTCACAGCGCCTCATGACAGTGTTTCTTGATAACTGAACATCCTTAATAGAAAACAGTATTTCAGACTTATTTTTGAAATTTTCAAACAACGAATATGCTGCTTCTAAAAGGCCTCTTTGAATATTTCTCCATCTTGAAATGTTTTTTATTTTTATGCTTTGTAAGTACTCGACTCACTCTGAATGATGCAATGGTTGCTACCCTTGATTTTAAGCTCGCTTCTATAAAAAGAGTTTGTTGTGCTGTAAGCTGTGATTTCAGTTCATGAACTTTTCTCTTTCATAGCTCACTTTGGGGCGGGAAATCATTATCATACTTCTTGTGAAAACTTTTGAAATGCCTTTCAGGATTTTCTTTCTTAGCTAGAGCTGGAGACGCATGGCAGATCAAGCACAGACACTTCAAATTATTTATGGTAAAAAAATAATCTTCTTCCCATTCATTGTGAAAATGGTAAATTTGGGTATTTTTAGTACTTGGTCCAGATCTCATTTTTGGTTCAGTTGATGGCCAATAACCTATATTTGGAAAAGATGAAGTCGTACGTGAATACGAGAATTACTTTTTCCATGACTTTTCTTACATGAATATGAGAATTACTAACGTAACAGCGTAACGTTCTAAACTTTTTTTTATAAGCAATTGTCATCGGCTAGAGTGGACACTTCTGTCTACTCTAGGGTTGCGGCGAGAACTGTCGCTAAGCTAAAAAGTCAGTAATTCTTGTAATCACCCAAGACTTTTCCATAACAAGAGACAGCACCTCACACTTCCAAGTATTGCAGATGACTGAAAATCACTGCATTGTTGGTGACAAGTGTGTAGGCTCGCTGGGCAAGGTTGCCAAATATGATTCTCTCTCTCTTTACTTTTGACAAGACTCCTCAATATCGAGTCGACTTTTTCATTACCAAATTCATTAATACAAGGTTTAACGTGTATTTGTATACTTATAAAAGCAAATACCTGCCTAGTTTTATCCTACAACTGATGACAACTTGCTGATCAGTTTCCTCTCCAGGAACCAGCCAGCACCGGCCCGTATGAACGCGAACACTTCCTATCAGGATCCGCCACACACAGCATGGCACAGTCGATTTTTTTTATGTATCGCTCTGATGTGTCCATAATGATAATCTATTCACAGAAAAAATCTAAACAAATATAATATTCCAGTGATTATGAGTAAAATTTGAAGAGGATTTTTGTACGGCAGCTTAAGAAGGATGGATCATTAAGTTTAACTTTGCCATGCGATCGACTAGAGAAGATCTTGCGATCGACCAGTCGATCGCGATCGACAGGTTGGCCACCCCTGGGCTAGGGGCTGTGCCCATGAAAGCAGATCATCGAGGGAAGTGGCGTGTAATAGCATACGCCAGTCGCACCCACAGCGATGCAGAAACACGTTATTCAGCTACTCACGTGGAAGCATTAGCTGTAGTGTTGGCTCTCAAGTATTTTCCGGATTTCATTTTTGGATATCCGATCACAATCCACACAGATCATGTAGCCGTAACAGAACTATTTCATGGGGAGAACTTATCAGGGCGTCGAACGCTCTGGTATCTGACCATTCAGGAGTTCGCACCCAACTGCAAGTATTTGCCCGGGTCGTGCGAACATGGTAGCTGATTCGTTATCCAGACACATAACTCCTGTCACGTCACTTCCCACTTTCACCCTGTCACAGTTAAGGGCGGAACAACTACAGGATTCACTGTGGTCCAAGGTAATCTATGCCTTAGAATCAGGAGATGAGGTAAATTTGCCAAAACTACCTCTACCACTCTCACAGCTTGAACCACGGCACAACATACTGTATCGCTCTGTGAAAACACAGCAAGAGTCAATCTCTCAAATTATTATTCCTACATCACAAAAGGAAAACATCCTCACCCTCTTCTATGATGCACCCCAAGCTGGGCATCCAGGGCGAGACAGATGTCTAACAGAAATTAGACGAAAATATTATTGGAAAACTATGTGGACCGACATCGGGCATCACATCTTGTGCAAAACACAAGGGAACAACGATGGATGCAGCTCCAATCTTAGAATACTTCCAAAAAGCCATCAAGCCTCTCATTACATACTTGTGTGCATTGAACACTTCTCCAAATTTGTGGTACTAGCACCATTGCAGAATAAGTCTGCCGAAGCAGTGCCTCATGCATTAGGCAGTCATCTCATCTGTCATTTTTCTACATTTAGAGTGATACTTTCAGATAACAGGGCAGAATTTGAGAATCAATTCTTCACAGCAATATGTCAACAATACGACATCACACAAACCTTCACAACCGCCTACCATCCATCCTCAAATCGTAAAATTCTTGAGATTCTCCGACATGTGAAGAATCCGATGCACAGTTCCTGGGAGGACTGGCTTCCACAAGTAGCAGCATCCATCAATGGATCTATAAATAGCTTTACAGGCAAATCCCCATACAACATAATTTATGGTACCGCTAAACGCTTGCCCTATGATCAACTAGCAGAAACCTCACAACCTGTGTACAACGTGGATGACTATGCCAAGAAGCAAATCAATGTTTTCACAAGCATCCATGGAAAAGTACGAAAACATTTGGCAGCCTCACGTGCTGAAATGATCTGCAAGCAACATAAAAACGCTGAGCCTGTAAGTCTAGAAATAGGAGATGCAGTAATGATAAAAGCGGTGGAACGCATATCAAAACTTTCGCTTAAATTCACAGGTCCATACCTAATTAAAGCGAAAGAACATGGAAACAAATTCCATATAGTTGAGCCAACGACAAACGTCACAGGCATATTACATATAGATAGAAAGAAAAAAGTCAGCAGAAACTTAGTAGGAACCTCGCTCCATTCAGGCATGGCGTGGTTATCGCTACTCCTGTTGGCATGGAGCGCAGTGACAACAGCCGCATCCCCAGCTGACATCATCAAACCCGGAACCTTAGTTGCCCCACTGTTCAAAGTACTTGTAGTGGAAGACGTTGTAGCTGTCAAGTACGAGCTCCATGGTTTAATGCGCATGCCTTTGCACCTAAGGTCAATAGCTGTCCACATTGAAACAGCTATGCACACCCGGCAAGACTCTCAAACAACAGTCTACCATCTCTACAACACTCCGTCAGACCATCTCACTTCAGAACAACCGTATGAATAGTCTACTAAAGCGCGTAAGCCACTTCGAGGGAAAGCTACCTACGTCTTCTGAAGACATTGTGAAGAATGTACATTCTCATCGGCGTCAAAAACGTGGTTTATTTAATTTTTAGTATGGCAACCGCCGAAGATGTAGCTAAACTAGGGAAACGAATGAATGCAGTTTCAGAAGCGTTTATGAAACAGAATAGGGCCATTGCACAGTCCTACAAGGCAGTACAAACTCTGAACTATAAAATTAATGGTATTGTTGATGAAACTATTCAACTAACACGTATTGTCCAGGGATTCACACGGTCAATGCCTACACTAGTTGATTTAGTGAATGCAGGTTTAGGTCGTGTAGAAGCACAGTTGTTGCTGGTTGGCCAACTTATTGCCTATCATCTAACTCCTATCTTTCAGGAGCATGATGTGGAATATTATTACCCCATATTGGAGGCATCCTTAACGCATTCCACTAAAACCACAAAATAAGTTTAATGCATGGCATTTGGAACCATTTCCAATGAAGGCGAATGATGATCTTTTAGTTCTTAACAGAGAAACTGAACTAATAGTGGTTTCAGAAGATTTTTCGTTTGTTGCTGTGAATAATCATGAAGACCTAAATCATTGTAAGTTAGCATACTTACACTTACATGTATGTCCCGCCTATGCTTTCGCTTTCACCCGGGCTGCTAAAGCTACTTGTGAGCTAGCTATTATACAAACTAATGCTTCTACAGCTCTGCAGTAATGTGAATACACTCCAATACCTCATAGATTAGTGTTTCTTGTGCTTGTCAGTAATGTGCAATATTTTTATTTTCCAAACCAAACCAAACCAGTGTAAAACTCATATGTCAGGGTGTAGGTAAAAATTTAGTAGTAAAAGGTTATCATATAGCACCAGACTATTGTGAGCTCAGTAGTAATGCAATCAAAACCTTACCTACTCGCTATCATCTTGCATTTGTATCAAACATTACTTCTGAACCAGTACCCATACCATTTTTACTGAATATTACTTTCAGCAGCCTTCACATTGTCTCTCATAAGTTTAAATTTCTGTCTAACATTTATGAAACAGTTTCCTGCATAATAGGATTCTCTTTCTGTTTATTTATCTTCCGGAGTAATCCTACCTGGTTTCATCAGGAAAATGTCCTTAAGGTACACAATAGTTTCCAGGAAAACTCTCGAAAGGGCATTGAAAGAGCATGTGCAAATTGCAACAATTTAGCTAAAGTACACTTTATTATAACATGGTAAGGTATACCTAGGGTTTAAACCGTGAGGACTCGATTAGAGGTGGCCGAGTGATATAACTGCACCTTTACTTTATATAAATACAAACCTAAATGAATAACACTAACTTATTCATCAAGTTATTAAAAAAATGAGTCAACCTGTTGTTGACGACAACAGACGGCTGAGCTTGTAACAATCTCAGAGGTCGAGCACAGGTCAGCTGATTAACCAAACAGCTGGCTCGCTCCCACACTTTGCTCTCAGACAGAGAGGCAGTAGATCCTTACCACTTTAACAGGGAAGAGACATGTAACTCAAGTGTTATTTCAAAGTATATTCACAAGACGTCCCTAGAGAGAATTCATAATTTATTCTCTCGGATTATATCTGTGTATATAGCTGCTTCTACAATAAACCAGAGAAAACAAAAATAAGTGTTTACATCAAAACCAGCTACTTAAAGAGTTCCAGAACTTAATTAAAACAATTAATGTGATACCAAAACAGCTATCACAGGTCGATTTGGCATTTTTTCTCTTGTCTTCCCAACGAACTCGGAGGATGGAACGTAGACTACATTGGTGAAAGTTTTCGAGTGCCTTGAGGTGCCTCCTTTATGTGACCC